CTGACTCGATGGCACCTAACAACAACAATGGGGCAAAATATTGTTTGATGCAGAAAGCATCAAAGAAGATGGAAGGAATACACAGAGTCACTATACCAAAAAGAAATGGCCAATGTTCAACCATTTCAAGAGGCAACATATGATCAAGAACAGATGGTATTAAAGGAAGAAGTTTAAGTTGCACTGAAGGCATTGGCAAAAAACAAGGCTCTAGGAACTGACGAAATACAAAGTGAAACTTGCAACAAACTTTGGAAACACTGAAGATATGCATTCATCTATGACAAGAAATTTGGCAGTCATCTACCTGGCCATATTTGTGCCCCATTCTAAAGAGAGGTAACCCAAGGGATTGTGGAAATTATTGAATTATATCATTAATATCACAAGCAAGTAAAATTTTGCTGAAGATAATTAAAAAAACCACTGCAACAGGGAACTGAAAGAAATTCAAGCTGGTTTCAGAAGGCTATGTGGAATGAGGGATATCATTGCTGATGTCAGATGGATCTTGGCTGAAAGCAGAGAATACAAGAAAGATGTTTACTTGTGCTTTATTGGCTATGCAAAGGTTTTCGACTGTGTGGATCATGACAAGCTATGGATAACATTGCAAAGAATGGGTAGTTTAGAACTCTTAATTGTGTTCAGGAGGAACCTGTGTATATACCAAGACGCAGTTGTTTGAAGAGAAAAAGAGGACACAGAATGGTTTAAAATCAGGAAAATTATGCATGATGGTTATATTCTTTTACCATACTTATTCAACCTGCATGCTGAGCAAATAATCTGAGAAGCTGGATTATATGAAATATAATATGATTTTGAGATTGAAGAAAGACTCATTAACTGTGATATGCAGATGATACAACCTGGCTTTCTGGAAGAGAAAAGGACTTAAAATGGTTATTGATGAAGATCAAAGACCCTAGCCTTCAGTATGGATTGCAACCCAATGTAAAGAAAACAAAAATCCTCACCACTGGACCAATAAATAACATCATGATAAATGGAGAAAAGACTGAAGTTGCCAAAGACTTCATTTTGCTTAGATCCACAATCAATACTCATGGAAGCAGCAGTCAAGAAATCAAACAATACATAGCATTAGGCCAATGTATTAGCCTAATTTTTTTAAAAAAGGTCTATTGAACTAGACCTTTTTTAAAAAAATTTTTATTGATTGATTGCACTAGACCACTGTAAAGTGTTCAAGAGCATAGATGTCACTTTGAGGACTATAGCATGCTTGACCCAAGCCATAGTATTTTCAATAGCCACATATGCATGTGAAAGTTAGACAATGAATAAGAAAGACCATAGAAGAAGTGAGGCATTTGAATTATGACATTGGATTCGAATATTCAGAGTACTATGGTCAGCTAGAAGACCAAACAAATTTATGTTGGAAATACTGCCAGAATGCTCCTTAGAAGCCTGGATGGTGAGAGGTCCTCTCTCATACTTCGAACATGTTATCGGGAGGAACCAGTCTCTGGAGAAGGACATTATACTTGGTAAAGTAGAAAGGCAGCGAAAAGGGGGAGACCTCAGTGAGATGGATTAGCACAATGGCAGCAGCAGTGGGCTGGCTCAAGTGTAACACTGTGAGGATGATGCAGGACAAGGGAGTGTTTTGTTTTGTTGTGCACAGGGTTGCTATGAGTTGGAGCCAACTGGATGGTACCTAACAACAACAACTAACTGTAAGGTTGGTAGTTCAAACTCACTAGCTGCTCTATGGGAGAAAGATGAGGCTTTCTGCTCCTATGAAGATTTATAGCCTAGGAAACCCTATATAAGGTCACTATGAGTTGGAACTGACTTGATGGCACTCAGTAGCAGCAGTAAATGCTCCACCAGCAAGAGTTGAGATCACCTCTTAACCTGATCAGTTGCCACAGGCTTGACTCTAGTTCGCTGACACCTTACATGTGTCAGAGTAGAACTGTGCTGCACGTTGTTGTTTTTATTTTGGAACTTTGTATTGTGAGTTGAGAGAAGGTTTACAGACAAGATTATCAGTTGTACATTCAACTAATAATACACTTCATGTCATCTCAATGATTGCAATCCCCTCCATGTAACAGCAGTTATCCTACTTCAGACCTATGGTTCATATTTCCATTCCACCTTCCTTCCCAGCTCTTCTGAACTATTGTCCTTAGGTAAACGTTGTCCTTTCGATCTTGAATGGCTGACCATTTCATGGTGAGCAAACCTTACTACTGTAGTTGTGAATGTTTTGTTTTTATCATTTTATTGTGCTTTTGATGAAAGCTTACATAACAAATTAGCTTTCCAATCAATAATTCATACACAAATTATTCTGTGATATTGATTTCAACTCCAGCAATATGTCAGCCTCCTCCTCCTTGCCTTCCCCTCCTTCTCCATGCCCACTCATCTGGTTTCTCTGTCCCTCCCTGCTATCTCATCTTTGGGGTAAATGTTGCTCTTTAGATCTCCCAGGGTTGATTAGAACTAAGAACTAAGGAGCACATTCTTCCCAGGTGTCACTATTTTATTGGTATT